TCCAGAAAAGAAGCTTTCCCCAGTGTGTTGTGATCACCTATGGGGTTTCTTTAAAATATAGTCTGAAGGTCTCCAAACCTTTTGTATATTGCAAACCTTAGCTTTCTTTTAAGAATGAATGCATTGTTGCCAGGAGACCTGTTATGCTTGAGGCAACAGGCAACTGGATGCATTTGCCAGCCTGGAGATACCTCATTGGACATTGCTGCACTAGGCAATTGCCTTGTCTGCCTATTGGAGTTAGCTCCAAGCACAAAGACAAACATGCTAGAGAGATAAACTTTCCTAGGAGCTGTTTCCTAGACATGCAGTTTTAGGCATTTATCATGATCATCTTGGCTGCCCACAGCTGAAAGCAAGAGATTAGACCTAGGTCACTTCCAGGCTGTCGCTAATTTCTGTGTGGGATTGAGTCAAATACCAGCAGACTTTTTCCAGTAAGGAAAATGCACTGGAAAGTTTGGGATAACAATTGTTTGATGTGACATCATAAAATCTCCCCTCAAACAGGTCTGACTGACTGCTCAGTTAACAGTAGCTATTGTATAACTTCTCTGTAAACTTTTGGCAATAAATCAGTCTGAATGCTCAAACTGGTCACCTGAAAACAAGCCTAGACTGCACTTAAGTCTGATCCAGCAAGGTAAGGCTAATGTTTACAGACAATATTCACTACCATCAGATGAAGAAAACACCACTATTGAATATTTGCTTGTTAACCAGAACAATAAGCAGCAACCTCAGGAATCTCAGCAGTCCAACTATGTAAACTCAGCTCTGACCCTCCTTGCGTTTGAGCCTATTACCCTCACCTTTCCAGGTGTTTCAAGCAACCATGAAGCAGAATCATAGCCGCAGCTAGGAACAAGAAAACACTCCTTCTTGAAAGCCAGTACGTACTCAGAAACAACAAACTGCAGTGCCATATTGTATCTATTATTTTTGTACTAATGCTATCTGCATCATTTTATCAAAATGCTAATCTGAGTCACACCTGCTTTGAAAATTTAATGCTGTACTTTCCCCCCACAAGATTCGCACGCAGGCATTGTCTCTCTCTCAAATATGATAAAGTACCAAAGTGTTGCTCAACGTTTTAAGATTTGAAAAACATAATTATGTTGGTCTATTTTCGCTTGCTTTACAATGTTCGGCAGGAGAGAGAAAAATAACAATCTGAATACATCTAAGGAGCTAATGGGAAAAATTCAAATGGTAGTAAGCTTATACGGCGGAGGGAAAACTAAGGGTTGGAGGAATGCAAATGGAGCAAAGTTACCGACTGACTCCATAGTTCATGACTCATGAGGGACTACTGGAAAGGAAGAACAGGGAGGAACCAGTGCAAGAAGCCTTCAAGTACCCAGAAATATGCTTGCGGAGCCCAACCCCTTTAGATATAGATCCATACAACGTAAAACATAGAAAGCTCTATTACAAACTGTTTCTATGAAATATACCAATGAAACTAAAAAATGCCATATCCCTAGAAAGACAATAAAAATAATAAGGGACAACCAAGTTACACTTTGCATTTTTCATATGACAAGTTACAAAGCATTACAATGAGCTAAAAACTCAAAATAAGCTAGATAATTGATATAAATGGCATCAGTATAAACAGATAAAGAAACCACCAATGAACAATCAAACTTAATGATAAGAAACAGAGAGAACCTACAAAAAGAGGTGGGCAGACTATAGCACACCTTGTAATTATGTTACACAATTCAACAGCTCTCCCCTACCCCTTAACTGGAAAGAATAAAATAAACTGACCTCTCTTAGGCATAATTCACTTGAGGTTTTGGTTTCCAGCTCTGCTGCAAAAGCATTCTGAAAGACACCACCAGGGTGATCACCCTGCCCAGGTGAGCCCAGGCACAAAATATGCTGTAATCTATGCTATCACTGAGGGGGAAAGCTCCAGGAGGAAGTCCAGGTGTGGCTCATTTCAAGAAGCCATAAGCCTCTCCAAACCACCTTTACAGGACTATTAACCCTTTAGTGGCACTGAAAGGCTTCACAGAAGTAGGTAAACCAGGCAAGAATACGTACTGCAACTAATTAACCCCCTTTCCAATATGGGCCTTGCCCCCACCCTGTTTTTCATCCTATTCCTCAGTATATCCATGCCTGTTACTTCCACTTCTCCAGCTCAACATACCCCTCAGCTAACTTACATACACACACTTAAGTTACGCATCCATCCTGCTGACTCTAACATGGAACACACACTTCCCTGCTGTTTATTTTACATTATAAGCTTCTTTGGTGGGATTAGAGCCGTATCTATAGCTCTCTTAAGGCACATTTTGTATACTGTATTCATTATGTATACAGACAAGTACACTAGTTCTATCATCACCGTTCCCGCCCCCAGTTGCTATTCCTGTCTCCTTCCAACTCACGGAAGACAAAGAGAGCCTTCTGTATTTGGTATTTTCCACATTTCTAAAACATGCAGGGAGTCTCCCACAAGCACAGGAGTCTTCCTGCTTCAGAAGATCACCCTCTGGTGCTAGATTCAGCCAACCTAGTATGATAGCAGAAGCCAGCACAGGGTTTCTCATTAGGTCACCAGGGTTTCCCACTAGCACTAGTAGTGCCTATGTAATTCTGTAGGGCTCCAGACATATTGATGGCACCATATCATCATCATCATCATCATGCATTTGCCCCATGTTCATAAAACTTTTTAGCAGAGTTTGGGCAGCTTAGGATTCCTTATAGCAGGGCACTGCACAGATGCAGAATTCTTTGCTCTTTATCAAAACCCTTTGTCAAGTAAGTTGGATCAACCAACACAATGTTCCCTTCACAAAGAGGAGTAGACTCCCTCAGGAGGTTGTGGAGTCTCCTTCATGGGAGGTTTTTAAGCAGATATTGGATGGCCATCTGTCATGGATGCTTTAGTTGAGATTCCTGCATTGCAGGGGGTTGGACTAGATGATCCTCAGAGTCCCTTCCATGATCAAAATTCAATGATTCTATGACATGGATCCTGTAATTCTGAAGTGCTGAAAATAAACACATCAGTATATGTGTATTTTTGACAGCTACGGCAAACATGGAGAAGTTTCTTTCAATATATAAAAGCTTAGCTAGGTACTACAACCCAGTTTTCAAAAGGTCCCCTGAACACTCAACCTGCAACTAGTACAGGCGAAATGAGGGGGTAAAGCGTTGCTTTGGAAGAGAGAGCTCCTGACTTCTTGATCAGTGAGCAAAATGGGACTGTCAGCCCTCTGCTGTGGGGTGGGGAAGAGAGAGCTCTTGTTTACAGGGCTTTTATTTCCTGCAAAATAAATGCAATCAGTAAAGGATGCGACAATGAGCTCAGTTGGATGTCAAGAGATAAGGGTATGGTAATTTCTGCATTATTATTTGTTATGAGTTTCAAAAGACCGCAGGGCTGGAGGTGTCAGAGCCATTTTTAGCTGGGTTCAGCAAATCACCTCTGCCCTTGTTTACTGATATAATTGCACAAAGAGGGAATAATATAGTATTTTCAAGGAGTGAGATGGAATTCATTACAGGGGGCTTAGCTTGCCACTAAATGCCAGAAACATGAAAAAGGCAAGACTTCACTTATGCTTTTGGAAGCAGGGGGGTAGGATGGAAGGAATCCTCCTCTATCTAAGTGGAATATAATGTTATCCCTTTGAAGATGCAATACTCGGGGGAGATATTGTTGATTCATGCACAGTTTAGGAGAAGCATATGATCCAGGCTGTGTGTGTGTGAGTGTGTTGTGAATGTTGGCTTCCAAGCCTGCAGCTTAGCTGTTGGCTTTTCATCCCCCAGATGGCAGTGCTGCATTCCAAGATGACAATTCTCAGTGGCTCTCAGAGAGGAAGGCTGCTAGCGTCTGGCAGACTTACAGGCCATGTTTCTTCGTTTCAGAGGAAATATGGTACAATCCGCATGTAACAAGACTTGTGTAATCACGAACAAGGAGCTCATTCCAAGGCTAACACAGCAGTTATCTCCCTTTGTGGGTGTCTGCAAGATCACATCTATCAATAATAAATGGGTCAGATGCTAGGATTATTCTTTTTATTTGCAAAGTTTTATTTGGCTTACAAGCGCTACATTCCTCATCTGAAAGAAGCCAAATTATCTTCCTCTCCTCCTCGCTCCCATCTCACTCCTAGTCTGAAGAACAAAGACAATGAGATGTCTCACACTCTGTTAACAAGCCTTTAGCTACTGCTGTTAGTGTGCCAGATACAGGATGCCTGCAATGGACAGTGATGTGCACTGGAGACTGCTCTGTGTTGGAACGGATATTCACAGTATCCCTAATCTTCAGTGATCTCAATTAACTAAAAAATATCTATAGGCTCAGGCAGACAGCAGAGCTCAACACCCTCAAAGGAAACTGCTGTCTGAACAGTAGGAATCAAGCCCTCCCTGTGTCACCAAACTATAAAATAATCCAATGCAAATGCCCCAACTTTGCATTAAATGAGATGGGAAAAAAGTGTAACTTCTAACTCAAGTGGTAGATTGCCATTGATATTATTAATTTTTAAACTGAATATAAATATACAAATGTTATTGACTTTACACATACATACATGCTAACACGGAGCAAATAAGGAGACAGAGGAAAACATCCTGCCAGAAGGACAGGGGTTGCTGCTAACTTATCAGTGTGTTGCTGGATCACACTGCATTTCTCCACATGGCTGTGCATGGTTAGCAAGTGGCCAGAGTGCTTGCCTGTAGGCATAAATTACCAGCTCTCAGTGGTTGTGACAGCAGTGAAGACAAATGTGTAGAACACTTCCACATCCTGGTCTAGTTCCTGAAGAAAACCTGCTCAGGGCTCTTGTTATATTCACATTACAGTCTAAGCATGAAGGTTTTGTGCTGGGCTCCAGCCCTATTCAGGTATTATACCTGTCTGTAGAACCAACACATGAGTAGTCCGATTCCTGGTGTTGCACTTAATGAGTATGTCTCCCCAACAGCATCCGTGCATACAGGGAAGCGCTGTAGCTAGCTCAATGGTAGAGCACCTGCTTTGCATGCAGAAGGGTGCTGGTTCAATCATCATCAGCTCTAGGTGGGAAAATATCCCCCTGACTTAACTTTTGAGAGCCACTGTCAATCAGTGCAGACAGAACCAAGCTAATGGACCAGTGGTCCAACTTTGCTATAAGGCAGCTTCCTACATCTTGAAGGTATGGACTTTTGTCTGTACAGTTATAAACACAAAGGTTTTCACATAGCCAGCAACCCAAGTTGCACTGAAGACTTCTTGTTATATAGCTGGACCTGCAAAATTTGGTCTATCCTTCCCTGTAAGTGTTCACACTATATGCCAGGTCAGCACAACCCCGCTCCTTGCTCATGTGTTGGTGTTACATGTAAGTATGGTGCCTGAATGGGGTTTCTACCATTTCCCAATTCTATGTTAACACTTCTTCCGTTCCTGTGGCTTATATAGCACTGCAAGTTTCCAAAAGTGCTGTTCATACTAAAAGTGCTGTTACAATGCTGTTCATTGTAACTTTAGTGGGAAGCCCCATCCATTGACTGGGGGGCTAAGGGCTACTTGAAGGCTGAACACCCGGCTTCCCAGGAAAAAACATCAGAATCAGGGGAACACCTCCTGGTCCCAGTCATTGGAGGAGCATCTGCAGGTAACTTTCTTTGCCCCTCTCCCTGTCAGATAGACCATTTGGTTCCAGCTGCTGGTTCCCCTGGGATTGCAGAAGGGAGCAGTAGCCCATGCTAGCTGCATGCCTCCATCCATCATACCTCAAAGGGATGCTTGGTTGTTTTGTTTGTTTCACTTCATATTCTTGCAATCTGTTCAGAGCTGGCCTGGACTGAGGAGCAAGAGGGAAGCATCTTCTGGCCTCTGCTATTGTCCAGGGGTCCAAGGGCCCCTGGAAGTTGTATCCGTTGCATCTCCAGGAAGGATGGAAAACCAGCCTGGCCCCACTTAGCAGCCAGAGAAGCAGCTGCAGAGACATTTTCACTGAAAAACTGAAAGCATATTATTCCTTGTTGTTAGACTGAGGTATATATCTAGGTCTGCTGACTGTATGCCTGGCACTGCCCACTACACTAGACTACACTGGCTTCCAGCACTTTGTCCCACCAGTCAATCCTTTCTTCAGTCCCATCTATGAAATCTGTTCTGTAACAGGGACACGTTCTTCCTCTGTACTGCATATACAGCCACAAGAAGTAGGGATGGGCAAGTTTGTCAATTTCATTCTTTCCATTTTTCATTTTTCCACGATTGTTCAGTTCTCTAAATTTCCACATCAGCTGATATTTTTTTAATGTCCTCATGAAAATCCACCAGCATTTTAGTGTGAATTTCTCCTAGCAGACAGATTTTTGTATGCAGTTTTGCCTAATAAACTGATTTTTGCAACACAAATTTCCATAATATAATGCATTTTTGGTGTTATGCACACTTTAGTATATGCCCACTTGTACATATTACTTGGCTAGAGAACCGCACTGTAAAATTCAGAGACATGTGAATTTTGAAGGATGCCTGTGCATTAGTTTGTGCATTGCTTTGGAATGTGCAAATTAGATAGGTTCATCTTTAAATGCAAACTGAATCAACTTTCTCCCGATCCTTACACCCAATATCCCTCTATTTTTATTTTAAATCTTACTCCACAATCTGCAAGACAGTTTACTCACATAAGGCTTCTTCATATGTGTCACATCTGCACATTCCTAAAATGAATGGCAATTCATAAGCACATAAGTGCACAATCTTAGTTCTATGCCCAGTTTCCATCCTCTCTTGGCTATGGAAAAGCATACAAATCATGGCAGGCCTCTCCCCTCCCCTCCCCAGTGATAAGGACCATTCTGTACTCCAGCTAACTCACAACTCCGTGGCCTACTCGCATTACTTCCAATTCAGAAGCAGCATGAAGAATAAACATATTTGTTAGTAAAAAGCAGAACAGGGACTGCATTTCAGAATCTGGTGAGAAGAGGATCTGTCCTTCTTTAATAGTTTCTGGGCACAGCAAATTGCCTTCTTAGCTGAATACGCTTAGTCACTCTAGTCATATTAGCAAAGATGAAAAAAGGAATCGTTGGGTGTAAATAATGTTCAAGAGCAGAACTTAATTGAATCTGAAAATTACTTCATTTTTTTTAAAAAATGGATTTTTTTTTTACCTGTAATTGTACAGAAAAAGGAGGAGGAACTCAACCATCTACAAGACACAGCTGCTCATTCCCGATATCTGATTTCAGCTGTCACCAGCTTACCTGAAATGATTATATAGGAAGCCAAGCTTATCAACTCCAGCTTTCCATTTCTGGCGATTATAGCAACATGAATGTCTAATCTTCTTTGCCTACAGAATGCAGCAGGCTGAAAAAGAAACAGTGTTGGTATTTAATGCTACCCACTCTGTTCTGTTGAGTTTGAAGAAGGACAAAACTATATAAATATTTTTTGTGAATTCAGATTCTGAGGTATAAAACATGCATAGCTGCAAATATCACAAAATGAAATGAAGTTATCTGAATGAATACAATAAATCAGGGGTTGATTTATCTCCTATGGTGCCCTAAAAAGGTATCTGTAAATATCTCCCCTGAAATCCATAAAGTACAAGAGACTGTATAGGGTTCTTCCTGCTCAGTTCCTGTTTCCACTGGCTCAGCTTCTCCAACATTGAACATCCCCTCCCTCCAAAAAAAACCATGCCCACATTTCATTTGATAACAGCAATGGAACACACTTTCCACCTATTCTGAGCAGATGACAGGTGCAAGGAGCTTCTTTCTGTAAGCAAGCACAGTGGTGGCTGATGTACCTGCCTTTAAAAAAAAGGAAAAAAAGATGATGGTGTTAGGGAGCGTGCTGGCACCATTTTCTGGTTCTCTCTCTCTGCTGTTTTAGAGCTGCCCCACAGCAATCAATTTGTGACTGGCATCCAGAGCACTCAAAACTCCAATGAGCCCAGTTGCCCAAAAGGCTGATGAGTTAAGTATGGATTGCTTTTTCAGCAGGAAAAGATGGCTGCAGACCCATCAAGCTGAACACAACACAACAGTAGGTATTGTGACCTGCCAGGGGCTTCACAACCAAAGTCTGCAGTCCTACCCATGCAACAAAAACAGATGGCTGGAAGGCTCCCCCGCACAAGACAACACAACTGGTGGACTGTGCTCAGCTTAGTGATTTATTCATGTTATGCTGGCTTGCCTGCTAACAGATCGCCTGTGGGAGGCCACTGTAGTCCCAATCTCACCATCTGCCTTCATCAGGACATCCGATGCAGATGGCGTGTTCTTGGACAGTGGATACTTTTTCAAAATGTCTCAGAAAACACTTCTCTAGGAAAGGGTCAACTGGAGGGTGTTTGGAACTCAGCGACCACATTATTGATCCAACTGCCAGAGGGGAAGGGTCTGTAGCTCGGTGGTAGAGCATCTGCTCTGCATGCAGAAGACCACAGGTTCAATTCCAGGCATGTCCAAGTCGGGCTAGAAAAGGTCCCAATGTCTAAGACCCAGGCAGGTAAGCACTGCTCCGCATAATCACTGAGCTAGATGAGCCAAGTGGTCTTTCAGTGTAAGGCAGTTTATTTTGTTCCTATTATACGTGTGGGAGAGGAATATTTCTTCTGAGCAGACTAACTGGTTAATAATGACAAATTTTGCTTGCTTGCATGATTGGATGACCCTAACCAGGAGGGACCACAAGCAGCAACTGTTTTACCAAGCTGAATGGAGTCACCATCAACCATGTATGGCAGATCATAGGTGCTGCCTGCCTGGAACTGTCTGCCTTGACAGGCAAGCAGCTGACAGGCTGCTATGGGTGGCTGACTGGATGTGTAGGCCTGTTGTTATCTGTTTGGGATTTCTCGGTTTGGAATATTATGGAGCTAAGGATGAATTGCTTTTTAGCAGGCAGGCCTGACTGGTGATCCATCAAGCTGAGTATAGTCCAAGGCAAATATGAGAACATAGGGATGCAAGAGGCGGCTTTATATTGAGTCAGATCGTTGGTCCACGCAGCTCATTATTCTCTATGCCAGCGGTTGCCAACCTAGTGCCTACAGGTGACAGAACCTCCTATGGTGCCTGCATAAGGTCTCAGTAAATATGTTGCTGGCAAGGAGAAGATAGGTATATAAAAGGAAAATTTATCTTCTTTTTTTATGTATGCTTTTTCTATGGGTTTTTTATGTATGCTTTTGAAAAAAAAGGAAGGAAGGAAGGAAGGAAATTATTTGGATGGCAGGTTTAGGCCTAGTACTCTAGAGAGAGAACTCCAGCAGAGATTTTAAATAGGAAAATATACAGCAAAGTAAAGCGTGGAAATATAGGCTGTTAGATCTTTAAAATACGTCTTTCTAAGTTCCTTCCAAAGTTCTCTTCTTCCTCCTAGCATAGAAAAGACCAAACGTTCTGTCAGTTTAAAAACAGTTTACTTACTGGGAGATGTTACAGAACTGGGATTTAAAATTTACAGTATGTTATACTCTTAAAGAAAATTACATGAAAATGATATATCACTGGCAAATTATGTAACCCCTGGCAAATTAACTAAAATCTATCAAGCAAGGTCAAATACATGTTGGATATGTAAGGAAAAAGAAGGCACCTTTTACCACATGTGGTGGACTTATAAAATAGTAAAATTATTTTGGGAGATGATATATAATGAACTGGGGGGGGGGGGAAGAGTTTAAAATAACATTTTCTTTAAAAACCCGAAGCTTTTCTTCTAGGAATTCTAGGTGCTGAAATACCAAGGGACCAGAAGAGACTATTTATGTATGTGACCACTGCTACCCGGAGATTACTAACCCAGACACAATCCCTACCAGAGAAGAATGGCAAATTAAATTGGTGGACTATACTAAAATGGTATAAATGATCGAAAGAATTAGGAATCATGAAGACCAAACTTTTAATAAGGAATGGGGAATATATTTAATTTATCTTTAAAATCATTGGAAACAATTAAAATTATTAGTAGGACTGGAATGATACTTGTAGTTGAATGTTGCACTATGGTTGTAATGGAGATTTAACAGAATTTCATTATAGTGGTACCTAGGGTTACATACGCTTCAGGTTACATACGCTTCAGATTACATACGCTTCAGGTTACAGACTCCGCTCACCCAGAAATAGTACCTCGGGTTAAGAACTTTGCTTCAGGATGGGAACAGAAATCGTGCGGCGGCGGCGCAGCAGCAGCGGGAGGCCCCATTAGCTAAAGTGGTGCTTCAGGTTAAGAACAGTTTCAGGTTAACAAATTAAGTACATAACCAGAGGTACCACTGTAATAGAGAAGATGCAGGAGGAAAAAAGTTAACATAAGGATCCACAAAGGGGAGGAGGGAAGTCAATGGGAATTTATGGAATTCTCTTTTTGTTTTTGTTGTTAAATTATTGGTAAAGGAACTCTAGAAAGGCTTTTTAGAGCCATGTGGTCTGAGCTTGGAGCAGCCAGCTCAGATCTCACATGTTAAACTAGAATAAATTTGATTACCTTCCTCCCAAATTGAGGGGGAGTAACCTAGCTAAGCCTGGCAGGACAACTTACACTATGACATTAACCCCTTCATTAATTAGACCCAAGAATGCTGGTTATATGAGGCTGGTTATCTTACAAAATATCCCCTCTAAAACCCACAAAGCATGAGGGAGGGGGGAATGTTTGCACGATTTTGTGTTCTTGCTTCATTTTTCTGATCTTTTAGATGTGGCCGCCATTTTGTGTTACATTACACTCCACACCTACCATTTCATTTTATGACCCCCACTCATGCAGCTGCCATTTTGTGTTATGTCATACACCCCACAACAGCCATTTTGTGACTTGTACGTGTATCTCAAATGTGTTCACTGGCCCCAAAAGGTTGCCAACCCAATTTTACCAGATTTTGGAGAAGAGTCTTCACCAGCCCTACTGGAGATGCCAGTGAGTTAATTTGGGGGCTTTGGCATGCAAAGTATGTAAAGAGAATGTGGTATTATATGCAGAAAATAACACTATGGCATAGCTGGCCTGTGTTTATATGTAGTTCTGAGAAGTGACTGAAAATTTTCAGTATTACACTTTGGGAAATAACACTCCCAAATGTTTTTAATTTGATTATGTAAATGTACAGGGCACAGTTAGTTGAAACTGCAGGAAAACATAAGCCTACAGGAAAATGGTGGACAATCTGTAATTGGCTTTAAAAAGTTGCTTTCAAATTAAAAGTCAATTTAAAAAGCATAATGAAAATGTTCATCTCAACTGTTGCCAGTTGCTCTATCTCCTATGAGTATACTAAATGAGTGCTAATATTCACAGACAATGTCAGACTGCAGACAGAATCTGGCAAGTGTTTTTGCAGTCTCAATGCACTAACAGGGGCAGGTCAGTGCACCCAGCACTTGTGGGGAAATTGGGGACGAAACCAACATATATGTGCCTGTCTCTACTCCCTCCTCCCCACAAACACGTGTGCTTTCAAATGCATGAAGAGGGTTTCCACTGACTACTGCTGTTGTGACTGGTCATGTAATGAAAGCATCGGACTGTACTTTTATAATTGCATTGCCGTTTGACCCTATTGCTTACCTTTCTCCCCATACTGCAATAGGTATATATCACTGACAACTGAAGATAATACTTTGTGCACATAGTGCAGTGGACTCTATTCCATGAAAGCTCCTGCTATAATAAATTTTCTTTAAGCTTACAGGTGGCACGTGGGCAAAATGCATCCTTTTGAACATTAGAGGTTGGGGAAGAAGCGGGAGAACTGGATGAGCAGCCCTTAAGGCCGGAAACGTCTTGGAAGGCTGGCTGATGGCAGGCTTGGAGAGAGGCACAGAGATGTCTGGGAATCCAATGCTGGGGTGGCTGTGAAGGATGGGCTCCTCCTGAGATGTGAATACTATGAAATCTCTCTCCACTGAAAGCTTCTGGTGTAAATATCTGTAAATAAATAATATTTCAAAGACACTGCAGACTCTGCTGTGCCTCATTTTCTCCAAAGGAACACAGACCCTGGTTGAGTACCAAACCCTTTGGAAACTCATGCACTGCTTGGCAGAGATTGGGGTGGCCAGTAACAGCTTTATCTAAATCATAGCTGTTACATTTGCCATCCAGATCCCCATTGCTTGATATTTCCTTCACTCGGGGATGGGAGGTGGGAAGTATTCACACTATCCATCCCATATGTGCTATGTTGTTTACGGTGCTATAACTGGCCTTTCTTCAGCCTAGTGCCCTGACCATTGGCCATGATGGCTGAAGCTGATGGGAGTTGTCATTATACTATAACTCCCATAAGCATTAGCTAGAATGGCCAATGCTCAGAGATAATGGGAGCTATAGTCCACAGCATCTGGAAGGAACCAGGTTGGGGAAGGTGCTATAGCTGAGCAGGCTAATTCTTCTGCTCTAGTAGCATGCAATTTCAAAACAAACTCATATAAAGTTGTTGTTATTTTAAGCTGGAATTTTAAAACAGGTGCCTTCCCTGTACTGAACCCTGTGGTTTGTTCCTGTAGGGCTAATCATAAGTGTACCTTCAAGTAGAATTCCAAATACAGCTTCCACCTTGAAGACGGTGATCATTGCATTACTTATAGCTGAATTGGTCTAAGGAGGCTCAGGTTCACTGCCGTTGCTAATTAAAAACAGGTCTCATCAATAGTGCTGAAAAGGCACAAACATTGTGGTGAACTCTGAAGACTTCATGGATTTTAGAGTACTTACTTCATTATTCAACGGCATTATTGCTCTACTCATTTCTCAAGAGGAAAACAAATTAAAATTAAAGGCCCATTTGTGTGTATTGAACATATTGTTATGTACCCCCCCCCATCTTTGAGCAGTGTAAGATTCTAGGGGTTCCAGGCGCTCGCCCAAGGTTCGTGTTTCCTTCAGAAATTAGGCACAGCAGAGTCTGTGGTGTCTTTATGAGATGTGGTTATATTTGCACATCTATAGAACCTGCACCTAGATGGAGGGATTGCAGAGCATTCCCATCCTATGAAGGCCGGGCTTCCCCCTTAAGGGCAGCATTGGATTCAAAGGACAGCAAAAAGCCACCTTCTGCATCTGTTAGTTACAGCCTGTCATCCCCCTCTCACGTGGAATTCTGCCCCTCCTCCTTCTCTCTGTTAACCAACTCCAAGGACCTTTCCCACCCCTACGTCATTCAAAGTTGAAACCCTACACATGACCTTGGCCTCTGCCTACAAGCACCCAGCAAAGAAGGGGCTACACTCCCCCTTGCCTGGCAGTCTTGCCCTCTGATGGTTTCCTTGATGGGCTTTCATTGGTCTTTGTCCCCTGCTAATGGCCCATCCATTAGTACGACAAGGCTGCATATTGTCTACCTGCTTATTTAACTTATATGCAGAATTCATCATGCAAAAGGCTGGACTGGATGAATCCCAAGCCGGAATTAAGATTGCCGGAAGAAATATCAACAACCTCAGATATGCAGATGAC